TCCATCTCTCCTTGCTCAGGTCACATCTGCACCCCAGAGGGCGAGCTGTTCTCCTTTGATCCCAGAAAGTGGTCCCCAGTAAGGCTCTTACATTTCCACTTCCATTGTCACACCTGCTTCCCAGAGGACCAAAGCAACAAAGGAAAGAATAGAGCATTTATCAAATTTCTGAGGCCCTACCGCATGCCTTTGGAGAGCCTGAGCCTGGGTGCACCGAGCTGTGAAATCATCCAGCTTCAGCCTTTCCCTCACCTCTTCCCTTTGGGCCAGAGAAGGAGGTCTAGATAAACACACTAGAATCTGGGCTGGGCAAGTGGAGCTTATGGGAGAAAGAGCCCCGGCAGCACAGAGCGGATGCATTTGCGGCTGCTCTCCTCCTTGGAATTCGTACAGAATTCCATTATCAGATCTGGACAGCAGCTCAGGGACCATTTCATCCCATTCCCATTTGACAGACAAGAAAGCTGGGGCCCAGAAGGGAGAGAAGAGCCAGGGCAGGGATGGGTTCCTGACTCCCAAGTCTGTGCTCCTTCCTGAGAAGCTGAGTGAAATGCACAAATCCCATGATGCCCCAGGGCCCTTTACAGATGGGCAGGGGGAGCCTTGGGGCAGCTCTGCCAGCCAGCTCAGTCACAGCTCTGAGACTCCTAGACTCTAGTAGATACCTTCTTCCTGATGGGCAGCACAGGCACAGTGGCCTTGAGGCCTTAAGCCTCATCTATAGAACAGGCCAATAGCAGAGTCTTCCTCCCTAAGCCACGATGAGGCTTAGAGGAGTGAAAATAAGTAAATAACAACAGTCAGCCTTTACCATGTCACATGACCATGTGCCAGGCCTTGTTCTAAGCACTTTCCATGAGCATTATCATCAAAGTGAAGCAGGCCTATTTACACTGCCATTTTACAAATGGGAAAAAAGAGGCATGGAGAAAGACAGCTGGGAGATGGTAGGGCAGGGATTTAAATTGAAAATAAACTGACCCCAAATTCTTCTACTTGGAGCCCCAGGCCAAGCCTGCTTCTCCTAAGTTCTTGTGTAGCTCAGTGCCAGGTCCAAGGAGCTCCTCAGTCATGTTGCTGATGGTGTAATAATAATTGTCACTGGGGAAACTTGCCATGGGCAATGCTATCTTCTCCAAACCAGAAGAAATAATGAATTTTCTGACATGTTTTACTAAACTTCATCATTTCTTTTATTTGGCAGTAAATAGATGGTTACCAAGTGCTCAAGATAAATGTTTGTTGAATTGAAAAATTTTATAGTCTTTTTGGAAAATACGAAAAGAAGGAGGACAACTCCCTTATAGTTCCACCAGCCGCCTTTCACTTCTCTATGTGTGTTTATTTTTATTTTGGTTCATAGTTGTGAATATGCTATGAGAGATTTCTGGATTCTGCATCCTTCACTTAACATAATTCTATGAGTTCTTCCCTGTATATAAATTTTTAATGACTGCAGAATATTCCATCGTGTGGATGTTTTCTTCCCCTCCCCACTTTATCCAGCTTGGGGTTTTTATTCCAACCTTGGATGCTGCAGCAAACATCCTTGGGAATAAAGTTCTTTCCTTACTTGATGTGACTTGGAGAAATAAATACCTAGCAGCAATTTTCCTGAACCCAATAAGCTGGTATTGAGGGTGGTTCTGGGGACAGTGGCTCTTCTTGGTGTCCTAGTGATGAAATTCTGCCATCCATGCTTAAGGCCACTCCCCCCAAAGTTACTTTTGAACCTCAGCTTCTGGACTAAAGAAGCTTATCTGGTTTTGTGCCCATGCCACCTTCCACACTGAAGGCTGCAGCCAAGGATCTTATTCTCAGCCTGACACCACTGGGCTGCAGGATCCTGGGTATGTCACTCCTGTGGGGCCTTCACTTACCAGTAAAGGAGTGGATCACTTCTACATCCTGCCCAGAAAAAAAAGGCATAATGTAGGAAAGCTCAGTCCCAACTCTGTCTATAACTTATTGCAGACTGTCAGTGACTTGTTGAGCTCTCTGGGCTTAGTCTTGCCATGTCTTAAGAGGAGCTTGGAGTGGTAGAACCATTAGGCAAGCAGAAGTGAGTTTACTGGCACCCATTTGTCTTATTTATTCCTAGGGAGTAGGCACCCCTAGCGGACAGAGACAAAAAACCCAAATATGGCCACATCATGAATAGCAGTCACCAATTGAACAAATAAACAACTTTCTCGATGTAAGCAGCCAAAAGCTACTCTCCAGCCAGTAGGGGCTATAGTTACAGGCCACCATTACCGGTGGAATCTCACCAGCATAGTGAGATGGGGTTCAGCACTGCCAACTTCTTCACTTCATCTTTTTTACTTCTTGCTTTCCCTCAAGCGCATTCTTCCAGCACAAGGTCATTCCTGCTTCAGAGGCTTTTGAACTGCCTCTGCCTGGAGCCCTCTTTCCTTGGCTCCTCCATGGCTGGCTCAAACCTTGGCATGAATATCACCTCTCCCAGGAGATCTCTGCTGGCCAACCTATCTAAAGGCACCATCACCCTCCATGATTTCATCTACTGTCATAGCCTCACAATACCGAACCACAATACCAAACGACTCTCAGAAAGGACAATGTTGACATAAATGTTTCTGTGTTTACTGTCCACCCGCTCTTCCCTGGATGCCAGCTCCAAGATCCCAGGGACCATGGATGCTTGGCTCACTATTTATTCCATGGCACTCCATGAACATGTGATAAATGAATGTTAGATCCCATAGGCACAGCTGTCCATATAGAATTCAGGTATATTGAGCACCTATTATATGCCTGTCACCATTCCAAGCCCTTTATGCATAACAACTCTTATAATGCTCTCAAGAACCCTCAAAGTAGCAACAAGTATTATTCCCATTTTACAAATGGGAAAATTGAGGCACAGATCAGTTGAGTAACTTGCCCAGGGTTTCACAGCTAGCAGGGAGATGATCTGGAAGACTCAGGAATATTGTTAAGAGAGTGCTGAGCCATACACAGAACAGAGTCCCTGTCCTTGGGCAGCTTAGAGACAAACGTGTAAGTTGGCTTGGTGTACAATGAAGGAAGTCAGGGAGACCTCCTGAAGAAAGTGCCTCAGCTATATCCTGGGTACAAGCAGGGGCTAGCAGGGGTGAAGGAAAGGGAAGGTTGCTGCACAGAGAAAAAGGGGGGCCTGCAGAACTAGAAGTAGGCTCATGTGCCTGGAGCAGAGAACAGAGGTGTGCCTCGGGGCTGTAGGTTTTAAAAAGAGACTGAGGTTTTAAAAAGTCCCTGGGGGCAAAATAGGAGACAATATAACTGAGAAGATGGGCAGGGACTCCCAGATCACACAAAGCCTTGACAAGATCAGGGACTCAAATTTATTCTTAAGATTTCTAAGCCACACATCAAAGGCCAGGCCAGCCCCTGACCTAATGGTATCCTGAAGATACTGAGGTCTGGCAATTGTAGCTGTCTCACTGTGTGACCTCAGACACCTCCATGTCCTCTTTGGGTCTTATCTCCCCAACTGGTAGTGGATGACCCAATACCCAAAGGACATCCCTACTCCATCAGCTTTGCATCCATCCACAGAAAGCCATTGGCCAGTGACAGCCTCGTGTCCCTGGAGTCCAGTTCTGAGACTCTCAGGTATTGGCCATCACACACTTGTAGAAGTGACCCACTACCCTGGGGCTTTGCCCAGCAGCCTCTGGACAGGGGGCTGGGTTCTCCTGCTCCTTAGTTCTGCCAAGACATGGCGGGGGGGGGGGACCTCTCAGGTTTGGGCTAGACTGGGGGGGGGGGAGTCCTGCTTGGATCCTTCCAGAGACAAAGGAGCTGACCTGCAAAGAGTTCCAGCAGGAACCCCGCTCCCCCTCCCTTCCCCCCTCTCCCTTCCCAGTCCACGTGTCTCTATTGTCTGCTCCCCGCTTCAGGGAAAGACACAGCCTCGGATGTGTCAAAACCACCCCCCCACCAGCAGCAGCAGAAATTAATTACTGGGCGATTTTCACTTCCTCTTGCAGCGCTTGCCTGAGATAGACACCAGAACATGACTGGCTGAGAGAGGCCAGCATCGGCATGGGGGACTTGCTCCCCCCATCTGGGAGAAGAAAGTGAAACCCCAAACCCAACAGGGGGCTCTAGTGGGAGCCCAAGCTGGCGGTGGTAGAGGGGCTTCTTCTAGTTAAAACTGGTGTCCACACTGGCCACTTCAGAACTAGGCAGAGGGCGAGGGCTGTGGGCGGACAGGCAGGAGGGTAGTTCCCGGCTAGCTCACTCTTTTCTTTCCACCCCCTTCCCTGTGTCCCCATGTGCCTGAACCCCGCCTGCTCTAGCCTGCGCTCTCTCTGCTCCCCTAGATCTCTGTTTTGCAGGACCCCCCCCCCTTTTCTTTACATCTCAGAGGGGCATCCTTTTTGTGTGTCTGGATCTCTCTTTTCCTCCCGTGGGTGCAGGAGTGTGTGCTGCTACTTTCTCCATCTCTTTCTTCTGTTTCTCGCTTGTGTCTTTTTGTCCTTATCTTGGTCTCTCTGCTTCTATTCCTACCTTTTTCAGCGTGTGTCTCTCCTTTCTCTGCATGTCTGTCTGTCTCTCCTCTCTCTCTCTCTCTCTCTCTCACACACACACACACACACACACACACACACACACACACACTCTCCTCTCTCTCTCTCTCTCTCTCTCACACACACACACACACACACACACACACACACACACGCTCCCCTTTCTCTGTCTCTCTGTATCTCTGCTCCTTTCTCGCCCTCACTTTCTCCCCTCCTGCCTGCTCTCTGCTCCCTGCTCCTGGCCTGCCCCCACCGCCGCCGGTTCAGGGGAACGTATGCGGAGCGATTGTCCTGGGGGACATTTGATGGATTAGAGCGCTGAACAGTTCCATTGCTAGGGGACCACCTGATCTCCTCCAGCCTGCGTCCCATATAAAGCCGGCAGCCTGAGTGCTGAGCACTGCTCCAGCGATCGCCTGTCTGCGCGCCGCTGCCGCCCAGCCCGAGCGGGAGCCTGAGGCCGGCCGGGGCCGCCGCCGGGGGCCGCCCGCCCGCTGGGAGCTGTCCAGTGCTGAAACCCCGCACGGACAGCCAATCGCGCCCCGCTGGCCGCCTCCCCACAGCCCGGCTCCGCGCAAGTGCACCCGCCGAGCCCCCCGCCAGTTGCACCATGCCGCGCTCCTTCTTGGTAAAGAAGATCAAAGGCGACGGTTTCCAGTGCAGCGGGGTGCCGGCGCCCACCTACCACCCCTTGGAGACCGCCTACGTGCTGCCTGGCGTCCGGGGGCCTCCCGGGGACAACGGTGAGTGGGACCGCGCCAGGAGGAGAGGAGAGGGAAGCTTGGTCCCTCCTCAACTTGGGCCATGAGGAGGGGCACGGTTGGCAGGGAACCCCGGGAGGAGATTTCTCCGGCCGCGAGCCTCCCGGACTTCCCCAGGGCTGACGGGCGGGGCTGGGGCTCAGCCCTACAAAGGAAAAGTCTCAGGGTTGGCCCATCCCGCAGCCACCCGCCAGCTGGGACTTTGAAAGTTTCGGCATTAGAACAGGGCTGGGGTAAGGGGTGCTGAGAGAACACAGAGAGGAAGCTCAGGAAAGGCTGGTACTGGGGGCAGAGGGGGCTCCTGAGGCACTAGCAGTTGGAGGTTACCTTCCTCTCCCTGGCTGAGGGACAGGGCTGGCTGCCTGAGTGTGCCTGGTGGGGAGGCAGAGGCCTGAACTGCCAATCTCTGGAGGCGCGGGGCTAGCTCTCTGGGGGTAGCTGAGGGCACCCTCCCCCCTTCAAACCTTCTCCCTCCCTTCAAATCTGCTCCCCCTGGCCATGCCAGACAAGTGCTCTCAGACCCCCCTTTCTCAACAACTCTTTTGTTACCCTCAGCCACATGCTTACCAAAGGCTGGGCCTGTCCTGGGAATGGCAAGAAAGAGGATTTGGGGGGGCTCCCCTAAAGAGGCTCCTGGTCCCCTGGACTACACTACCTCCCATCCCCAGCTTCTCACCCCTTCCAGAGCCAACCCCAATGATCCTTGTAAGCCTCTCCACCCTGCCCCACCCCCACACTCCATCTCTTCTCAGAGCAAGTTCCCGCAGGGACAAGGGTTTGGGGGACAAGAGACTCACACAGGGTGATCTCTGGAGGTGACAGAGAGAAGAGAATGCTTTTGTGGGCCCCATCCTCCACTGAGGGAATCACAAAAGGGTTCTTCTCTGATGGCCCCCATCAGGCAGGTGTCTGGAGAGGAGGAGTCCCTTTGGCAGTAAGAGACCTGACATCATATGTGGCATCAGCTTTGGGGAGAGAGAGAGAGAGGGAGAGAGAGAGAGAGAGGGAGAGAGAGAGAAGAAAGGGGAGAGGAAGAAGGGGAGCTGAGATGGCAAAGACAGGAGGGGGTTCTGTCCCAGGGATTTCCAAGCTTTTCACTCACATTCCAATATTCTGCCATGCCAGGTAGAGAGAGTGCTGGGCAAAGGGCTATGTGACCTCACCAAGGTCAAAGAAGTCAGGGAACGATTATGGATACAGTTACAGCCCCTGGCTCCCCATCTACCCAACAAAACCCCCTTCTCTTCTGCCCACATGTCCCTTATTCTGTTGTCCTCTGTTCTGGAACCCAGGGCCTCTTGGGGTGAGAGACAGAAGCCCAAGGATATGGCTGAGCTGAAGGTTGGCCAGACAGAGGGTGGACCTGGGGCCACACCAAGGCTGGGTGCCGGTAGAAAATGAAGTAATCTGCAAGCCTGGGATATAGGTCCCTTAACAGATTGACACAAAGCTCCTGGATCCCACCCCCTAAAGCCCCTTGGTCCTGTCCCCAGGCCAGCTGAGAAAACCCATAAAAGCCCAGAGTTCCCACACACAAAGCCAAAACTGCAGGCTGTGCCTCAGGAGGGAGGCAGGAAAAAGTCTTGCCTTGAAATCACTCCACAAAGCCTTTGAAAGGAGCCCTTGGGTGAACCGTGGGTGGGGTAAGTAATGTTTTTGCAGAGGTTCCACCAGCTCTGACACCTGAAAAACCCCATCCTCATTGCTTTCCTCAGGGCCTCTGGAAGATCCTGGGGCTGTCCTGATAGCCTGGAAGTTACAGGTTTAGCTCACTTGCTGTGTGACCTTGGGCAAGTGCCTTTCCTTCTCTAGTCCTCAGCCTCCCTAGCAGTCCAAGAATTTGGATGTCATGAAGTAAGCATCCTTCCAACTTCAACAGGCGTGGCTTCTGTGAAGGTCAAATGTGGTGCAGAAGGCCCTGTAGACACCTAGATGAGTCTAGCAGAATGTTAGGAAGCCATTGTCAGGGTTTTCTTGGGGCTCTGTTAAGCACATACCCCTTGCTGAGGGTTTCTAGGATCAGGCATTTTTCTTAGCTCAATCTCTCCCCTGCAGTAAGGACAGGCACCCTGACCTGGCTACCTCAGTGGTGTCTGCTGTGGACTGTCAGTGCTAGAGCGGGGCAGCTGTCCCTCCAAGCTTGGGTATGACCAGGAAACAAATTTTGTTTCCAGGGGCCTCTCCCCTTCTTGGGGTTTGGCCAGATTGGGCTGTGAGGACTCCCTTACTCCATAGGGGTGGGTCCTGGGAGTCCTCAGAGAGCCTGCAGGCTCCTGGTGGCCCGTTGTCTCCACTCTGCCGGAAATAACCTTGCTGAGCATTTGAGAGAAGTGTGAAAAATTGCTGAGCCGACGTTTTTTCCCTCCCAGCATGTGTAAGTGTGCTGGGTAAACAAGGAGAAAGAGAGGAGGGGGGAGATGAAGAGAGGGAGGGAGGAGAAGGAAGGGAGGGAGAAAGGAGAGAGGGAGGAGGGAGGGAGGGAGGGCCTGGGGCTGGAGATAGTTCCAGTTATTAGAAAGATCCTCTTACAAGCCTTTCCTGCAGCTCAGCTCCGGCTGCCTGCTGCCTGCGGGGTCAGGATGAGGGTGGTGGGAAGGGGGAGCTGCAGGCTGCAAATGGAGAGGTCTGAGGCAAGGCTCCTGATACAGACTCAGGACCCCAAGTTAAAGAGGTGCACCCCCAGCTCAAGGAAAGCCTGGGAATGCTAGAGAACTTCCAGAGGCCTCCTCTTCCTCCTCCACATACACACACACCCCAGAGGACTGTCCCTCCCCTCCCCTAGGGCCCTCTCCTCCTGTATCTCCCCCACCCCCTACCAAGTATAATGCAGATGTGTGTGTCTGGGCTGCAGGCTGCCCCAAACCTGCACAGAACCTCAAAATAGGGAAAGGATGCCCCTAAATGAGAAAGCTCCAGGTATCTCTGCAGAGCTCCCCAAAAAAGGGGGACAAGATCTCATTTCCCTGACTCCTTCAGCAGATCCCTCTCTTCTCCCACTGCCCCTCTGCTCTTTCATGGAGCCTGCCCTTCCCTCTTCTCCCAAGGGCCGCTCTGAGCACGGACTCAGTCTCTGTGAGATACCAACCCACACCCCCCAGACTCCCTCAGAACTGTACCCTCTACTCCCTCAAGCCCACCCCTCACAGACCTAAGCCCCTGAGAGAACGATGGGATTCTCACCCACCCCAGAAAAGGTGGCTGCTCATCCATCTGCATGTCAGTGGTCTCCATGCACCCCTGTCAGGGGCATCTTCTGGAGCATCCTCCTCTCCTCACATTTAATGCTGAACTCTAGCCAGGAGCCAGAACCCCTCCCTCTGCACCCCAGCCCTGTCCTACTCCCATGCCCTCTCAAAGCGCATCCGACCCCAGCAGATGAGGGATCAATGCCAATCCAATAACGCAGTCGTCTGCCCTCTGCAGCTGCATTAAGCCTCCCCCAGCAGGCTGAGGCAGCGCTCCCACTGCTACCCAGGGGCTTAGCTAGTTGACCACATCATATCAGCACCCGCTTCCTCTCTCTCCCCCTGATGGCGCCAAGCAGTCGCTCTGTCCAGGCCTGGGAGTCCAGCCCAATAGTCCCAGCGGCTCCACACCCACCCCACACTTCAGAAAGTTCATATGGGCCACAAGGTGTAAATGGGCTGCCCCAATCTTTTAGAAGAGGGAGAACAGAGAAGGTTGGAAAGCTGCCCAAGATCACACAGCCCACCTGAATCTTCTATAGTCACTACATCCCTTAGCATCCTGGTCTTGGTTCAGATCCAAGGTTCAGGTTAAGACATGTTAGAGATCTAAGTTTAAAGGCTATGTCCAGGTCCAACATCCAGGCCAGTGTCCAAGTACAGATCTGAGTCCAGGTTCAATCTCCATGTCCAACCTCAAGTCTAGGACCAAGGCTAGAGTCTAGTCCAAGGTCAGTGTCTAAGGTTATAGGTCCAGGTCTAATATCCAGGACAAATCCATGTCCACATTCAAGTTTCAATGTCTAGGAATTGGTCTAGGTCAACATTCCAGGTCCAGGATCAAGATCCAGGTCCAACTTCCCATCCAAGGTCACATGCAGATCCATTCTCCAGCCTTGCTGGGTTCAAGTCTTAGATCTATTATCTTTTTGTGTGGCCTTGGTTAGTGTCCTCTACCCTAGCCTCGGATTCCCTCTCATGAAATCAAGCAGTTGAACTTGATCTCTTTTAGCTTTGACTGAGGACTCCAAAGCCTGGTTTTCCCAGAATTAACAGGGTTCAGTGGAATGTGAAACAGCAGGGCCCATGTGAGAGATGCAGTTTGGGAGCCCATGGATCCCCCTAAAGTCTCAGGTCTCTGGGAGAAAACAGGGCGGGGGGCAAGCTGAGCTTCCATGCTTTGAACAGCGTCTGTCTGTGACTCCTGAGGGAGGGCAGGAAGTACACTAGAGTTCCTTAAATCAGCCACCCAGGAGCACAGCCCCAAGGCTGTCAGGAGCTGAAGGCACAGGTGGTGTGGGAGGACTGCTGGGTCCTAAGGTGGCACTGAGGGTGCCTGGAGCACCCCTGGGAGGAGGGAGAGATGCTGCTGGCAGAGATGGTACTCCCAGACCTCTAGGCTTCCTTCCCAGCAAGGGCCTCCCCTGGACTGATGCATCCATTGTCAGCCTGTGGGTAAGGAGGGGCTTGGAAAGGGGCTCTGCTCATATCCTCCTAGGGCAGAAAGCAGGGGGCTGGAGGGGGGGGTACTACGCCACACATCTCTCTCCAGACAGAGGTCCAGAAAGCCCCAGAGATGCCCCTGAGGGTCCAAGAGGCTACTCCCCCACCCAGGCCTGGGCAATCAAGATCTTGAGCCACTCTCTCCCATCTCCACAACCCCTGAAAACTCTTTCCTATCAATTTCTGCAGAGCTTAGGCCTCCCTATGAACCACAGGAATGGGGACAGTCAGGAAAGACCAGAATATGGAGGATTCCAGGATGTAAGGGGATGGGCAGGGGCCCGGGAATGCTCT